ATAGAGCGTCGACTTGGGGACTGAAGGGTCCCGGGTTCGATTCCGGTCAAGGGCATGTACCTTGGTTGCAGGCATATCCCCAGGAGGGGGTGTGCAAGAGGCAGCTGATCGATGACTCTCTCTCATCGATGTTTCTAACTCTCTATCTCCCTTCCTCTCTGTATAAAATCAATAAAAATATATTTTTTTTTAAAAAAAAGCTCAAATATGATTCAACCCTGTCTCTGCTGAATTGGCTCAAGTAGTGACAGGCAGCCGGGGACTCTTTGGTTCTCCAGTTTCAATTTTACCCAAAGCATTTCTCTTGTTTCTTCCCTCCCTGAGGTGATCACAACCAACCCACTCTGAAAGAAAGCTCTGTCCGTGGCCTTAGGGCACGAGGCAGGTACTCCGTTTTAAAATCAAGCTGGAGTTACCCAGAGCACTAAAACAGAGGAGCTACTCTTAATGTTGGGTTACAAAGGCCCCCTTCCTCAAAAAGAATAATATTCCATTCCTTTGAGAATTCTATTCATGGGATTATTACAGAATTTTCTGAGAAAACCATCTAGTGCCAATTATATGTCAATACCCTCCTAAGCACAGGACACACATTTGTTACATTAATTGATTGTCTGTACCAACACAATGACCCATGCTCCTTGAGTATTACTCACCAATCTCCTCCTCCTCCTCTCTACAACCAACCACTGGGTCTTCAATGCACATCTATCTATATGAAAGGCTAATATGCTGTGTCCCTCTGCCTATTCAACCATTTGCTATGATGTTCACTGACCATCAGGGGGCAGACATTCAGTGCAAAAGCTGCCGTGACGTGCACTGGCCATTTACAAAGAAACGGCACCACAGACCTGGCGCCAACAAAGCAACACTCAGCTTCCCACAAGTGAGACACAGGCCCCGCAACCACCCCAGAGCAACAGCTCACCAAGTAGCAGCTGACCTCATGGCACAGAATGCAGCCCATAGCCCAGCCCAGAAACGTTGCTGTGGGTGCCACTTCAACACCCGCTTCCTCTCCCTAATGACTGGCCTCCTTGCAGTTTCTTCAGCCCAGGCACACAACTTGCTTTATAGCCAGGTGGAAACATTTGCACTTTTAACAAATGCCTGTGAAGTGTTTTCCTGTGCTTCACCTCATTTGATCCTCACAGAAGTCCTGGAGTGGGTAGATAGGAGACTCAGTAGAATCCTATTTTCTTTTCATTAGCCGGAAAACAAAGATTTAGAAAGCTTAGAAACTTGACTCAACTGAAAAGAAGTAAGAAATAGTGGACCTTGAAAAAGACTTCAGGGTTTCTCACTGTGCAGAATATAGTCAAACACTGCTGCAGTTAAATATCTTACCCTTTGTCCTCCCTATGTGATCTACAACAATAATCTGCTTCCTGTTGATATTTACTGCTGTGTTTCTGACAATTACCAGAAAGAGAAGTTGGGATGCTTCACTGGTCTGGAAAAAGTTTAGCTAAGTCAGAAAGCAGTTCTATTAAGCAAGTTTATTCCATATTCTAGTATATAAAAGGCTAAGTTGACTCAAACATGCACGATACATATAAAGCTCTTGCCAGTGCCAATCGCATGTGGGTATTTCGATCTGTCATTGTTGATCATGAATTTGAATGACACTTCTATTATAAAGGGTAAATATTAAAATATTTCTTCTAATTAATTTTATTTCAATGTGCACGAATTTATGAACCAGGCCACTAGTTAAATATAAAACACAAAACAATACTTACAATGCGATCCTATTGGTTTTCAGGAACTTTATGTAAAATATTAGGTCAGTAGAGAAAAAAAACAAAAAACACCAAAATGGGATTACTTGTTATAAATGGGTGATGGATTTGGAGTAAACTTTATGCCTTTTATCTCTGATCTCTAAGTTTTTACAAATATTAGACATAAGAAATAAAAACACTAAAAAATGTTCTTAATACCAAAAAAAAAAACCTCCTAAATTTGAAACCCTGAGTTCCCCCAGCTGACTTAAGCCTTGCTTTCCTTCCTGCATCCCAGGGCCTCAAGGCTGCCACCCAGCTATTTTTATTACACCCACAGCTCACCCAGAGCTGATGCTGGGGCAGGAATTTTAATTCCTGGAAAGTTGCTCTAGAGACAAAGAGCAGGAATGGAGAGAGTTTCCCAGTCAGCAGTTGGAGCTGGCATCATTTCTGGATTCTGAAGTCATCAGCGGTTAAGTCAGGGCCCTTGAAGGGCACACCCGGAAACCACACCCATCCTGCCGCACACCTTTGGAGAAACCACCACCCTGTCCCTCCCCTGGCTTCACACCCTCTTCCTGCTGCAGTCTCATGGAAGACCTCTCCCGTGGCCAGTCCCACGTTCATGGCTGAGGGGATAAGATTTTGAAAGGCAAGATTTTTCTGATCTTCCCCAGCTCAGAGGAATGAAAGCTGGAGACCAGTGTACTGGCCAATAGTGGTCACTGCTCCCTCCAGCGTGGGCAATAAATTCTGCCCCATGGAATGTGAACCCAAAAGCAATTCCCAGATGGCTGGAGGGTTATTCAGACGCATGGTCATAAACAGACCCACGGGTCTCCAGTTCACTCTGCAAGGGATTTCCAAGAGACCCAGCCTAGAGCTCAGACCCTCCCAGAATCACAGTCCATGCCCGGGAATGCAGAAGCCGGCCTTGCCAGAACTGTTGTCCATAGCCAGGAAGAGCCACTGGCTGGTGGATCCTGGGATCTCTGGTCACTGGAGACGAATGGCCCCAGCTCTCCCAGTGAGCAGCCCGCCAGAAGTTCTGGATAGACACGGGGTTTCTTTGCCTGGATTCAGAGGACAGGGCAGAGTAGTCACAAGCCCCACGTGAAAGCACACAAGGCGGCAAGTCCCTGGTTTGCAGCGCGGCTCTCCCACTCGGACTGGGTGGGAGTGGCGGGGTGAGTGTGATCACTAGAGTGATCATATAATCACTCTAGTGATTGTCCCAGTGGGTCATTGTCCCAGTGGGTCATTCTGGAGTGTGAAAGGACATGCTATGCATAGCTATGCCAGGATACATGTGAAACAGGAAAACCCCAGACAAACCAGGATGTGTGGTGACCCCAGAAAACATCTTCCACTCCTGGAGCCGGGTGGGCGTCTGCGGCTGGGGTAGTGGCCTGTTCTTTTCCAAAACATGTGCCACCGAAGAAAGTCTACTTCCCAAATGGAACCAGGGCCTCGTTCAGCAAGCTCCCTGGCATCATCACAGGAAAAGAAGAGGAACCACAAAAATGTGGGCAGGGCCCTTCTCTGTCTGGTTCAATGCTGCACCTCCTGCACTTCCTGGCAGGTTGCAGGTGCTCGGTAATTATTTGAATGAATGAATGGAATGGAATGAATGAATGAATGAATGAATGAATGCCTGAGCAGCTTCCAAAGTCACCTGAGCCCCAGGAAACCAGAGACTTGTCAACCTTAGGAAATATACAAGGGTTTGAACTCTAAATTGCTGTAAAAATCTAAGGCATTGCACAGACTGTTACGCATTTCCCTTTGGCAGAGTTTATAAATATGCAATGTACAAAGCTTTCAAATACCAGATGAACAGATAAACTTCTACAAATAAACTCATTAGAAACAGTTTTTTTAAGCCACTGCTGAACTAAACTGGAACTATTTCCTGCCATATTTCTCATGTGAACTTATTCAAAATTTTCAAGGCCCAAACTGGGACTGAATGAAGCAAATGCTTACCACACACATCAGAGTTCCTCTAACCCCATCCTCACTGTGTGAGTTCTCTGGGAGGCAGGTGCCATGGCAGAACTACATTTGCAAGAGACTTCGGCAGGGGGGGAGGGAGGAGGGCGGCGCGGATGTCTGCAGAGGCTAACGGAGAAGGCAGGGAGGGCGCTCACACCATGATTCAGCTGAGACGCCTGGGAAAAGTGAAGGGACCAGGAGCATCGCAGACCTGATACAGTTCTAAGAAAGTTTCAGCCAGGTTGATGGGAAATCCCCTAGAGCCAAAGTTGCCCAGCAGAGAAGTCCCGTATCCTACAACACTAGTATCCCACCGCATCCGTGGCTAGCTGGGAAAGGGTGTGGTCCCAGCATAAACACGGTGGTGCCACAGCGGAGCGGTGGCCAGAGAGGGGCTATGGCCGGGCGCTGGGTCCACTCCACTGTGCTCCTGTAGCATGTGCTCAGGGCAGTCACACACACTTTTTAAACCTTCTCCCTGGAATGACTCTGGTTTTCTGTGAATCCAAACAGGCTCAGGTGAAATTACACCAGCTATCTGCTGAATGCTCAGAGTCCATGATAGAAAAGCTATTCTACCACCACCATCTTTTCCTCCCAAGCACTATGACTTTTCATTCCACTAATCGAGATTTTTAAAAAATCTATATATATAAAAACCAAGTGACTGGGATGGTGGAACGACCAGAACATTCAGTCACTATGAAGTGCACTGCGGTGGCCAACTGGCCAGAAGGGGGCCCTGATCAAGAGTGGGGCTGGCTGGCCAACCACCCAAGGCCCCTTACCCTGAATGGCCTCACCCTCAATTGCCCCCCAATCAGGGGTGGGCTGGCCAGCCAACTGCAGCCCCTCCCCCCAGCCAGCCCCATCCCCGATTGCCTCCCCACCCCTATTGGGGGCAGGGCCAGCTGGCAAACCTCCTGTGGCCCTCCCCCCAATCCCTGATCCTCCCCATAGGGGGTGGGGCCAGACCCCACCCATGCACGAATTTATGCACTGGGCCTCTAGTTTTTTTTCATAGAACCTCAATGACAAGATTTTAGTTAAAAAATAGAAGTCTATTCTTTTATTTTAATATTTCCAAGGAACCAAGCTCATCCTGGGCAGCCTGGACAGTGGCTTGTGAAAGGGAAGCATTTAGTCCCTGTCACCCAGCATCCAGCACTAAACTCTTTACAGGGTTAGGCCTGGAGTCCTTGGTGCTGCTCTTGGCCAATCTGACTGTGATCTTGGTCCAGAAGCCGCCCAGAGATAGCGGGGGTTGAGCCATCCTTAACTCATACCCAGGTGAAGCAACTTCCGCAGAAAGGCTGGTCCTCCCCAGTAACCCCTGGAAGAAAAGACATGGAAAAGATATTTGCATCAGAAAAGATGGGAATGACCTCGGTCAGCAGGATGGTGAAAGGAAAGTCAGATAGGTCACAGACATGCTTATTAGCACATAAAGCAAGATTTGTCTTGTGAGGTAGAAAGATCCTGTGACTGGGAGGGGACATGCTTCGAGTGCTGGCTTCGACGTGGACTTCAGCAAACTTGTATGCAATCTCTACTACAGGCAAACTGCAATTCTCTCTACTTTCATTTGCTTATAAATAAAGCATAGGGCCAGGTTTCTCAACCTTAGCCCTACTGACACTATGAACCAGCTATTTCTTCCTTGTGGGGACTGTCCTGTGCATTGTAGGGTATTTAGCAGCGTCCCTGGCCTTTGATCACGAGAAGCCAGTAGCCACCCCTCCAGCTGTGATAACCAGCTGTCACATATTGCAAATGCCCCCCGAGAGGCAAAATCACTCTGGTTGAAAACCACTAGTATAAAAAGAAAACCACTAGACTTACCTATCTCAGAGTAGTTTGTACAGTCAAATGAGATTTTCATAGTTTGGAACTAAGAAAAAGAATTATTAAATGTTCTTACTCTATTTATGCACTACTTATGCCTACTTTGTAGCTGTCTTTTAATGTGTTACCTCATTAATCCCCATCCTCTGAGGATACTTTCATTTGCAGATAAAAACGTTAAAAACAGGCCATCAGGAGGGATTGGGGGATAAGAGATCAACCAAGGGACTTGTAAGCATGCATATAAGCATAACCCATGGACACAGGACAGTAGAGGCATGAGGGCAAGTGCTGGGGTGGGGTGTGGGAACGGCTGGGGAGAGGTCAATGTGGGGGTGAGGGGAAAGACATATGTAATGCTTTAAACAATAAAGAATTTTTTTAGCCAGCACCGGTTTGGCTCAGTGGATAGAGCATCGGCTTGCGAACTGAAAGGTCCCAGGTTCGATTCCGATCAAGGGCATGTACCTTGGTCTTGGGCACATCCCCAGTAGGGGGTGTGCAAGAGGCAGCTGATTGATGACTCTCTCTCATCGATGTTTCTAACTCTCTATCCCTCTCTCTTCCTCTCTGTGAAAAATCAATAAAATATATATTTTTTAAAAAAAAATTTTTTTTAAAGTTAAACACAGAGAGTTTAAACAACTTGCCCTAAGACACACAGCGTGTGTCTTGGTAAAGTGACCAACGCAAACACTACTTAACATGTAAAAAGAAAAAATGATTTACCAGGATTTATTGTTATTAATAATTCAGCGGTGAGAAAAAGCCGGAACATGAAAAAAGAGAGAAGACTTGTTTGCTGCCAATAATGAAGAGAAGAGGCTGGGACCCCTGTGGGTAGTGGATATACTACTCCCTGTCCTCACCCCCGGCAGCCTCTCTCACACCACGTGTGGCTGAGGATCCCGCATCCTCCGCAGGCTGCCATCACCAGACGTGAGAAGCAGGGATCCCAATGGCCAGCCCTGGGCTCCGGGTCATCATTTCTCCTGAAGCTGGAAGGCCTCCTTAAAACCTTCTCCCTACTCAAGTGGGTGCCATAGGCTAAAAGCCGTGCCTCTCCCCCAGCGATGTGCTCACCTTAGCATCATATTCCAGTACAGGAAGGGCATCATGTCGGCCTTCATGAAGTACATGGAAACTCTCTCTCTGCTCTGGTCAAAGGGGAAGGTCTCCAGTGGCTGCATGTTGTAGTTAAACTCCGCAAGAATCACACGATTGTAGCTCGTCACCAGTGGACATGACGTGTAGCCATCATACTAAAATTGTACATAAAACTGAGTTGGAAAGTGGCTTTTTTCATGATGTAATATAGATACTTTAGAGTTTATTCTTTACTCTGATCAATTGAAAATTTTTTCCTTTCTTTTTTTTTCTTTCTTTTTTTGTACCATGAATAATGAAGATTACATAACAAAAAGTAGTGCTAAAAGCAACAATTGCAATGGCTATATTAGAGAAACTAATTAAGAAAGTGCCAACATTGTAGGAAACCATTGTTTTCACACAGAATGGAAGATGATAATTGAGACTCTGACTCTTACAAACCTCCTTCGTTGGTTTTTCATTCTTCATGACCAGAGAAATTGTTCCGTCAAGGATTCCTGACTGGGCAGCTGTAAGAGAAATGGAAAAGTCAGAAAAATATAAGCATCTAGGTTTGCAGATTTTTAACGTGATTTTTAACGTGAACCAGTTAAGAAGGCTCCATTCCCTATCCTTTTTAACGTGATTTTTAACGTGAACCAGTTAAGAAGGCTCCATTCCCTATCCTTCTAAATTTTAACTAGAACATGATTCTTACTATTTGAAGTTCTGAATACCAGAAGGGGTTCTTCAGTTCATCAAAGGCCCAACTAACTAGCTCCACAAGTTTGACACTGAGGAGCCAGCCGTCTCTAACAGGAGGACTGGCAATTTCAAACAAAAGGACTATAAGGGAGACAATACCACAACCCCACCCGCCTCTTCCTAGGGTTCAGTGGGTGTCACTTGATCTGTGTGCCCCGTATCCCTTAGTCATCTGGATGTCCCTGTGTCCCAGCCTAGATTAATAGCCTAAGTATATCAATTACACGAAACAGTGAGCTGGACCCCTACCGTGAGCTTCTACCCACACAAGAGCAGTGATTTCATTTCCTGACAAGAGCAGTGTCCTCACTTCCTGACGATGGAGCCCAACAGAACGTGGAACCCTGGTAGCCAGGCAGCCACATTCTAAAACAGCCTCTACCCAGCTCATTTGATAGAGACATTCCCACCAAGGCATGTTCTGCTGGTTGCCACAGTCACCGCTGGCCACACTCAGCCCCTACACCTCTGGCCCTTTTCATGGGGGAACCCAGAGGTAATCCAGGGAGGCCCAGGGCAGTTTTCTTAAAGCCAGGCCACCACTCTCATCACCCTCACCAGCCCTGTGTCCGCTGGGGAGCCGGCCCTGCAGGGCCACGGGACTCCAGACTCCAAGACTGGGGGGGAGTTCTGCAACCCCTCAGGCACCATCACAGACTCTGACAGGAGGGAGGAGGGAGCCAGATACCTGCACCCAGAACTTGGCAAATAATGATATTAAAATATTTCTTCAAATTAATTCCCTTTCAATGTGCACAAATTCGTGCACCGGAACACCAGTCTATAATAATAAAAGCGTAATATGCTAATTAGACCAAACAGCCGAACTACCTTCTGAATAAAGCCGGGGCTGCGAGGGCCGAGGCCAGCTACTGCAGTTACGAGGGCCAAGCCCCTTGCACAAATTTAATGCATCAAGCCTCTAGTTATATATATAAATATATAAGTATACAAATATATAAATACACAGCTAAATACTATTATATACACATATTTACATATATATCTATATATCTATATTAACTTGTTAAATAAATCCTCGAGCAACCATACAATAGAATACAGATTGTAAAAAAACATGTATAAACTAACAGGATGCCCTCCACACAAACAGGGACATCTGTAATACTTTTAACAATATAAATAAATAAATAAATAAATAAATAAATAAATAAATAAATAAGGGGATGCTCTCTACACGGTCAGGGGGACTGTAGAGGCTCAGAAGATGGGATAGGGCTGGAAGCAAGACTACTTTTAGAATTTTCATTTAGTTGTATTTAATAGCATCTATTTGGAACATGAAATCAGACATATGTTTTTTTGAAGAAAGTAAAAAGTTGGATAATCTGGGTCTCATGTGCAGCACAGGTGTTTAATACCCGAATTCAGCAGACTTCCATTAAGAGAAATGTAAGTATGGCCCCGAAGTCTACCTATAAGTCCCAAAGACCAAGAACCCAGGATGATACAAAGGAACATAATGGACTCCTGAGGTAACACAGTGGGAGGCACACACTGCTGTGTGGAGGAGAGTCCTGTGAAACTTTAACTTGAATCCCAATACAAGAAAAACTAGGTAATCCTAAATTATGGCATATTCTACAGATTAACCATCCTGGAATCTTAAAAAATGCCAATGTCATAAAAGTTTTTTAAAAAATGTTAGAGGGTGTGTTCTAGATTAAAGGAAACCAGAGACGTGACAATCAATGTAGTGTGTGGTCCTTCCACGGGAATCCAGAGAAAAGCATTCCAAGGACCCATGCATGGGAGATCATGGTGTGACAAGATCTATTCAGGAAGGCTGCCCCTGGATTGCCCCTGAGTTCCCAGTGTCCAACCTTGTGGGGGTTTTTTTGTTTGTTTTTTTATTGATTTTGTACAGAGAGGAAGGGAGAGAGTCAGAAACATCGATGAAAGAGAGTCATCGATCAGCAGCCTCCTGCACACCCCCTACTGGGGATATGCCCGCAACCAAGGTACATGCCCTTGACCAGAATCAAACCTGGGACCCTTCAGTCCCCAAGCCGACGCTCTATCCATTGAGCCAAACCGGTCTCGGCCCAACCTTGTCTTTATCAAGGCCCAAACAAAGGCCAGTGTCCAGAGTTTCCATTTCATATTAAAGCTTAGTCCTTGGAAGCAAGAGGTTTGCCTGGGGCCCCAGTTTAGCTACTAGACCTGCATAGTTGCACAAGCACACAGGGAACAGAAAGAGAGAGAGGGGAGGGGAGGGAAGGGGAGGGGAGGAGAGGAGAAATATCTTTGTTCCTCTGGGCTTGAAAGACCAGGAGTTTTTCTAAATAACCAATCAACTTCTCAAGCTTTTGCAAGCTTTTGATGAATCCAACTCCCTTTCCCAAGCCTCAAAGGTCAGGCAATTCCTCCTGCACCATTTTGACTTCTACTGCACATGTGCTTACCTCCCAGCACATGCACCCCCAATTCTGTAGATGGGGGGGGAGTTCATTCTTATCCAGGTAATGCTTTGGACCCCTGGAGTGTGTGAAGCTATAGCTTCCTGGTGTAGCAAACAGGCTCAGTATTCAATTCCCTTTACTTCCCTCCCCTTTATTAATCTCTGCTAACAGACTGACTGGTTCATGCATATAAGAAAGGACTGTGCCATAGGAACATTATTAGGAAAACTGGAGAAATTCAAAATGGATTGTATATGAGATGATTTTCTAATACAATGTTCCATTTCTTGGATGTGATGATGGTCTTGGGAAGATAGAGGAGAAAGTCCTTTTTCTTAAGAGATGCAAGTTGAGTTATTTGAGGGTGAAGTATTATGAAGTCAAAAGTCACTTTTAATAACTCAGAAAAAAAAAAAGTGTACATAGAGTGATAAAGCAAATGCCATATAACATTAGTAATCAGTTAATACCTCAAGAATATATGGGTATTTATTGTACTTTCAAATGTTTCATAGGTTTGATATTTTTTAAATAAAATGTTGGAGGAAAATGACTATTAATAGTGGAAAAGAGCCCTAGCCTATTTGGCTCAGTGGAGCTTAGCCTGCGGGTCAAAGGATCTCGGGTTTGATTCCAGTCAAGGGCACGTACCTCAGTTGCAGGCTCCTCCCCGGCCCAGACACTCGTTGAGGCACAGGCAGGAGGCAACCAGTCGATGTGTTTCTCTCACATTGATATTTCTCTCTGTTTTTCCCTCTCTCTTCCACTCCCTCTAAAGGTAGGGGAGGCCAGGGGAAGGTCAATTGAGCGGGGAGACATATGTACTACTATTTGTAATACTTAAAACAAAATAAAATTTTAAAAATCTATAGAAAAATACCTTTGGGTGAGAATTAACAAAAACAAAAAGTGAAAAAGATATTCAGTGGGCTTCCCTGAAAGTCTTTCTTAGGTTGAAGTAGTCAGTGAAAGTAATGCAACATGAGCTGCAGGTGTACAATTCACACAAAACACTGCCATTCCCGTCAGCAGGGAGGTCTGTGCTTTATAGCACCCACAGAGGACAGTTCCTGTCTATGGAGGACAGAATGTACAAGGCAATTCTCCCCATCACTGCTAGTGCAGAACACAGAGGTGAAGAATTTAGTTTCCCAGGCGGAGACCTTAATGGCGCACCAATCAGGGCACGCTCCACTGTGTTTGTCTTAACAGGACAATGGTCTGGTCTGCAAGCATTCATTGACTTGCATGTGTTTTCTGGGGGAACAAATGCTTCTCTAACTTCACGGTGTTTCAGGCAGAAGAAAAATAGCCAACCTTCCTGCTGTCACAGACTGAGAAGGTCAGGGATGAGCGGGTGGCACTAGGAGTAGTAACAGAATTCCTGGAAGCAGGAAAAGTGGGGACCTCTCTCTAATGCACTCTCCCCTGAAAACAACCTCTCTGACCTAGGAAAGGCAGAAGAGGTCATGCTACTCTGATACGAAGCCCTCAGCACGTTCTTCCTTCTTTACACAATGATCTCATCAACATGGTTCTGTGTCAGGGAAGTCAAAGTCATTTTTCAACCCAGAAAAGTTTCCTCGTTATTAGTGGAATGCTATTTGTGCCAAACCATTGTTTGAGTTACCATGGTGCCTTGGAGTGACATCACTCGAAGGGAAAGAAACTCCGCACGTCATCTTACCTACGGCAGCGGCAGTCTTCGATGTAGGAAGGTTGGTGCAGTCCCCGATCCCAAACACATTTGGGTACTTCTTGTGCTGCAGGGTTTCTTTATCCACATCCACCCAGCCAGCAGCATCAACCAAAGGGCTCTTCTTGAGGACGTCAGGTGCACTCATTGGGGGTGTGACATGAAGCATTTCGTACTACAAAAACAGGAGAGCACCCACATCTGTGTTTTTTCCATATATCCACAGCCCCACAAGCTCTGCCCCCGCCTCCCTCACCCATACACTGCTTTGGCTGCACTGAGCATTATACAAGTAGTATATGCTTATACTAATCTACACCTTCTCCAGGATCTTATAGGCTCCTTTGGAGTCTGGTGATAAAATAACTAACCACGCTCTTGGTTGACATTGTCTCCCCATAGACTCCACCTGATTCCTCTGGCGGCATGCCTGGATACTGGAGGGAACCTCGCTACCATTCTGAAAGAACCCAGGGATGTTCCTCCCGTCACTGAAACTAAGACAAAGGGGCTGGCACATTTCAGTTGCTCTCTCCCTGACTGTCATCTACTGATTTGTAAAGTCTGGAACTGCAAAGGGGTACTGAGTCCTTGAAACTTGTCAAGGCTGTGTTAGGAGCTGATAAATGGAATTCCCAAATATGGGTCAACCATCAAAATAAAGGAGGCAGTCAAAACACTAATTTAAAATGAAATAAAAGTTGGTAAGAATATTGCCTGGCAACTTGGAGGAAAGAGGGGTGTGACTCAGTATTGAGTTTACTGAATAGTGTAGAAGGCAGGGTGGATTCCTGCCCCCCCCCTCCCCCACAAATACCTCTGTCAAGATTACCCTTGGCAATGGTGCACTGGCCCCTGTTTTGTTTGTTTATGTACTATTCCTCTACTTTTTGTAGTTCATCCTTTTTATTCTTTTAACTTAGTTTTAATAAATTCCATCTAGAAATTCTAAATTGATTCAAATGTTCACAAAACATTTTATTAAGGTGAAAACTTTAGCACTTTAAGACAATTCCAACCTTGTGAGAGTTAATAGTCCCTGGTTCCCCTAAGGAGGGTCATCAGGACTTGTTAGTCATGGATGACACTAGAAGCCCTGCATTTATTCCCAATTTCCGACAATTATAAGCTGAGTAAACCCTAAGGAAGAAGGAGTTCTGCAAAACACACAGTGCTGCTCTACAGGGTGATCTTGGATGGCTTTTTAGGGTCGTGGGCCCCCGGACTGGGTCTGGTAATGAACATGGAGACTGAACACGTCTATGGGATGATGGAGGAATGGTCAACAGCCGTCATCCACCAAGTCATCGAGGTCATGTCTGCATTGCAGTGCTTCAGGTAACTACAACCACTTTTTTTAAGCTGGCTTAAGTCTTATGAATTCCAGATAACTTTCCAGAAGTTCAATATTTTTACATAATCATTGTAAAGGCATGACTATTTACTTGAACTAATTAATAGACTGAAAAGAAATAGTAGGCAAAAGAAATAGTAGGCAAAAGAAATAGTAGGCAAAATAATAAGTAAATAAATAAATAATAGACAAGCTTTTATAAGGTGCTAACTAGCCCTAAAACAAACTAGGAGTGTAACTGTATGAACTACTCATAACTGACCTTGAGCTGGAGCACATAGATGCTACTTAGCCTGGGAATCCGAGGACACCATAAAGTAAGAAAGTGCTCAAAAATATGATGGGGGCATGTCACAAGGACATTGGAACCATCTAAAAGGGCTCCTCAAATCTAGGGCAATTTGTGTACCAAAGTAATTAAAGATAATAATGAATTATAAACCACTTGGAGGAAAGTAGGAATTTAGGAGTTCATACTAATAATCTATACTAATAAAAGGAAAATATGCAAATTGGTCGGGATGTCCTCACAGTAATGACTGGACAGCTGGCTGCATGGAGCGACCAGGTAGGCAGGGGGGCAGTGAGGGGTGACCAGGCCAGCAGTGGGGGGGGGGGGGGAAGTTGGGGGCGATCATGCAGGCAGGCAAGTGAGCAGTTAGGAGCTAGTGGTCCCAGATTGTGAGAGGGATGTCTAACTGCCAAACTTGGACATCCTCCAAGGGGTCCCAAATTTGAGAGGGTGCAGGCTGGGTTGAAGAGAACCTTTCCCTTGCCCCCCGTGCATGAATTTCATGCCCCAGGCCTCTAGTGAATTAATAAAGAGAGAACGGAGGGTTTTTGCTGACAGAATGCCAAGAGCCTATTGCTAAAATTAGAGAAAATCATCATTTTGCAACCATTGCAGTAGAGATTGGATTAGGCAAAATATCACCAATGGATGCTACATCCAGGGGGAAACTTTAATGAGGAATAGGATGCTTACATGTTCTTAAAATGTCTCCCTACAGACGTATTAGCAGCAAGAGAAAAAAATAATAATAATACAATAGAGAAATTGGTTCATATCTTGACTGGTCTAAATGAACATCATCAGTGAGGGGCAGTTGAACACAGTGTGCTTTCACCCTAGAAGGACACATCACTTAAGCAGCATTTCAGTCTAAAACTCATAGCCTGGCCCTGGCCAGTGTGTTCAGTGGTTAGAACATAAGCCTGAGTACCCAAGTGTCACGGGTTTGGATCCCGGTCAAAGGCAAGTACCTGGATTGCAGTTTGCTCCCCACTCCCAGTCGGGATGCACATGTGAAGCAATCAGTCAATGTTCCTTTCTCTCTCCCTTCCCCCATTCCTTCCCTCCCTTCTTTTCTCCCACTCTCTCTGAAAAGCAATGAGAAAAAATATCCTCAAGTGAGGAGTAACAAAAAAATAAAATAAAATCATCATAATAATAAAGTAAAATAAAAATCATAGCCTGAAATGAGTCACAAGAAAACACAAACCAAAAATGAAGACCATTCTATTTTAAAAATTAAAGTGTGGGAGGAGGGCTGTATTATTCCAAAATGCTAATGTCACAGGAAACATTCCAGATTCAAGGAGACTAAAGAGGCACCACAATTAAATGAAATACCTGACTGCAAACTGGATTCAGTCCTAGAGGGGGAAAGTACTATAAATGCTTTTGAAAACAAACTGGAGTACCAATGGGAGATTAAAATATTGTATCCGTACTAAACATGCTGAGTTGACAGCTGTACCGTGGTTATGTGTGAGACTACTCCTATGACTTAGGGAATTTACAGTGAAGTACTTAGGGGCAAAGGGCTAACTTTTCAATGCTTGGGGAGAGGGAGAGAAATGAGATGATAAAACAAATGGGATAAAACTCTATATTAAGTTCATCTAGGTAAAGACCATACACAGGTTTATATTATTTATACATTTACTATTTTCATCAAGGCAACTTTCCCTAAGTTGAGATATTTAAAAAATATATATTTAAAAATTAAGATCTTAAGTCTTCAGTAAGACTTTAAATACACTCACGTACAAAAGACAAGAGATATGAAAATTATTTAGAAAGAACTTGACTTAAAAGCTTATAACGTAAAGTTTCCATGCATAGAAGACTAATCTTTGATTTCCTTCAAAATTCATTTTCAGGGAACCTTTCTTAATCTAAAAATGCCGAATGAATAAAACACGCCTGTACACTGTTTTCTCACTGCTAACAGTTCTTGCCAGAATGACAAACAAATGATTCCCCCATGCATGCTTCTCCAGCCGCCTTTTCATTGTGTTTTTACTCCTCACCTTCTGCCACAAAAGTGCTGTTGTTCCCACTCACAGAATAAACTGAGACTCTGGGAAACCAAGGCCATGCACAAAGGCTAGACCTTCCCAAGCAGGGTGTGTCTCCACCAGATCTTTCAAAGGACTTTAAGTGTTTCCTTTTGTGCGCAGGTGAAGGATGTTTAAAGACAGCCTCTTGAGAGGTGAGAGACGTCCCTGTCATTCTTGAACTGACCACAATCAGGGCTGTTTCTCCCATTCTATAAACTCCATCAATCACCAGATCCTGCGTGTAAGGAAGCCCTTCCAGAACACTAGGCTGTAACTGAGGTTGTCAAATATTTGACTGCTTCAAGTGGCTCAGTGCCAAGAAAAGCAGAGACATAAAACAGAATAAAAATTTACTTGGTACCAGTAGATAAACTCTCCTCCCTCCCATGACCACAACCTCCTACCTCTTTCTCTTCCTCACCCATGTTGGTCCACCCTCCTCCATCTCTGTCCTAAGATGCTCATTGTAACCAGCCTCCCCCAGGGCACAATGGTGATGGACAGGGAAGTAGGAGCCACAATGCCGCCTGCATCCACAACACCGTTCACCTGACAGCTTAACCTCGCCACTCACGGGAATCACTTGGGTCTCTCCAGGGTTGTCCATGTTCTCAAACACAGCCTCTTGTCTATCGGCTCGGACTTCAATGAGATTTTGCTTGTAGTTCACAGTGAGGTTCCGTTCCTGGATGATTTCCATCAGCGCATCTGCATACTTCTTAACCCCAAAAATCGATCCGAGAGAAGTGTTGAAAATGATATTGGCCTTGGATCGCTTCCCTGTCTGAGAAAAAGAAAAGAATAGAAACAACCAACACCAACCCATCCCTCCAGCCACCTTTTGTTTTGTTTTTCAACTGAGACAAGAATTAAACCCTTCAGCCGAAACCGGTTTGGCTCAATGGATAGAGCATCGGCTTGGGGACTGGAAGGTCCCGGGTTCTATTCTGGTCAAGGGAATGTGCCTTGGTTGCGGGCATATTCCCAGTAGGGGGTGTGCAAGAGGCAGCTGATCGATGACTCTCTCTCATCGATGATGCTAACTCTCTATCTCTCTCCCTTCCTCTCTGTACAAAATCAATAAAATATATTAAAAAAAAGAAAAAAAGAAAAAAAAAAAGAATTAAGCCCTTCATAAGAGACCTCGCCAGCTTTCTCCATCCCTTTGCCCTGGTGGAGTGAGGTGCGGACCAATATGCTGCCTCCCTCTTATTTTCTGTCAGCAACACAGCAACTAAGTGCTCCCCTGAATCAAGGGGTTGAGGTGGGCACTGTGCAATCGAAGGCCGGAGGTGAGATTTCTTCTAGGCAAACACAGAGCTGATTGTGTACTCATATACTCATCTGCTCATTCACTCAGTAAAGGTGTCGTAAGGTCCCAGAGCCGGCCCGTCTATTCTCAGCGCTGAGGGACGGCAGTGAACGAGACGAAGGCATGTCCCCTTGGCTCCCACACTCCGGTGCTGCTCAGGTTTCAGAGAGGCTAGTATTCTCCCCAACACCTACAATCTCAGAGCCTTCTCCCAGACCACCCAAGCGTGGGGAGGTGAGTTAAACAAAGAGAATTTCCAGGAGGGAAGGAACAGCACCTTGTAGGATTTGCTCACCTGGATCTCACTATTTAGAAGAAGTCAGGTGAGTAAGAACCTCAAACTGCCAACTCGGAATTCTCGTAATCCAGAAAAGTCTTTCTTAGACACAGAAATGATGACTTAATTCCCACCCGTGGAGTTGGCGCTGGTCTCCATGACTCAGGTGAAGCCTTGCCAGGGCTGGGTTCCCAGCGCACATTCCACCCCTCCTCCCTCCCCTCCTCACCTTCCCTTTACAGAACCACAGGCTGCTCTGAACCTGCAGCGTCTTAAGTGGGACCACGCTTCAGTAAACTTAGTGTGACCCCCGCAGAGGGAGGAGGACAAGGGCAGCTCCCCCAGCTTCACACCACGCGCTCCTGGGCTGCGGACGCCTGCTCCGACGCAGAGGCTGTGTGAGCAATGTCTCGAAAGGACAAATCTTTCCACTAAGGTTTGAAGTTCTACGTGAACATTTTTTTTTTTTCCCTTCAGAACTGGCATTTTTTTTTCCTATTATACTTCCAAAAATCTATATCAAAAGCCAGAAAACATTCATAACCTTAAACTTGAGCTGAGGATATTATTATGAATAAAAATGAACAATGTGCAACTAATTGTCTAACTATATGGAAATATTTAAGGCATCTCTAACGTATTTCCCCAAAAGACTTTTTTATATATATATTTTATTGATTTTTTACAGGGAGGAAGAGAGAGGAATAGAGAGTTAGAAACATCAATGAGAGAGAAACATCGATCAGCTGCCTCCTGCACACCCCCTACTGGGGATGTGCCCGCAACCAAAATACATGCCCTTGACCTGAATCGAACCTGGGACCTTTCAGTCCGCAGGCCAACGTTCGATCCACTGAGCCAAACAGGTTTTGGCCCCAATAGACTTTTATATGCACATTAAAAGATATGTTACTGCCCTGCTGGCATGGCTCAATGGTTGAGCGATAACATATGAACCAGGAGATCATGGTTCTACTCCCAGTCAGGTCACATGCCCAGGTTTTGGGCTTAATCCCCAGTGCGGGATATGCAGGAAGCAGCCAATCAATTATTCATTCTCATCATTATGTTTCTATTTCTCCCCCTCTTCCTTCCTCTCTGAAATCAATAAAAAAATATTTTTTTTTTTAAAAAGTATGTTATAAAGACTATTTAATAATCATGTTTAAAAAACATGCATAAGAAAAAAATGGAAGGTCACGTCAGATTGATGATACCAGCTGTAGTAAAATGATTGGATTATGATTGCCTTTTTCTATTTTATAAACTTCCAATGATATCATTTTGTACATAACAAAAGTTTAGAAATAAGAGAAAGTATTTTGACATGGATAAAATGGAATTCTGTCACTCAACCAATTAGCACCGTCTACTCCCCGACCCTGTCTCTGTCCCTGGAAAGGAAGCGTACCTTCCTGAAATAGTCTTCCGACAGGTACATGATCTTCTGCGGGGCCCCGGCGCACTTGATGGGGGTGTTTGGGAAGGTGAAGATGGCATTGCCCTCCTTGAAGTCCTGCAGAGCCTTCCACGTCTTCTCCACCGTGCTCACTGAGTAGTTAGACCCTATTTTGGGATGGGAAAAACCTTCAGGAAGGCCTTTAATCTGCAACAAAAGACACAGAAAAAACACTTTTTACCACATGATTTCGCTAATGTGTTGAGTCTAAAGAACGAAATAAACAAACCAAGTTGGAACACACTCATGGATGTGGAGAGCTGACTGGTTGGTGGCTGCCAGAGGGATGGGGACGGGAGGGCGGGGTGAGAGAGGTGAAGAGAGTAAGAAGTACAAATTGGTATTCCGAAACTGTCATGGGGATGTAAAGCACGGCATAGGGAATATGGTCAATAACATTCTAATAACCGTGAATGGTGCCAGGTGGGTATGTAAAGTATATGATTGTTTAACCGCTAAGCTGTATGCCTGAAACCAATATGAAATAAAACTGAAAGAAAACTGTAAAAATAAATGTTTAACAGAAGTGCAAATGGCTTTCTTCGGCATTTCTACAACCTCACAAGCACTTCAGTACAATTATTAGCCCCAGCCTTCACACACAGTGCAGCGGGCAGGTGGGTGCAGCACCCACAGTCCCCTGCAGGGCTGCAGACTGGACTCAGCCAGAGAAGCCCCTCTGCCTCCCTGGCCTTGAGACCATAATTTAAATTCATCTCTTCCCACCATCGGAGTAAAGACAAGAATCCAGGCAGACAAGAACCAGCTGACTTACTGGGAAGACGGGTGACCTTTGGTAAATTAACCAATATCTCTAAGCCACGCAAAGTGTGGTCTCCGGACCAGCAGCACCAGCACTGCCTGAGAACCTGCCTGAAATGCACATTCTCAGGCCCCACCCCAGACCTTCTGAATCAAGAACTCATGGGCAAGCCCAGAAGCAGTTTTAACGGGTGATCCGATGGGCACTGAGGCTTGAAAAGCTTATATTCACTGCCTGTAAAAGGGGATGAAGTAACAGCTCCATGGAGATCTTGACAGGAGTAAATGAGACCATGTGTGTCAAGTGCTGAGAAAAAATGAACCTCACAAGGTGATGCTCTGTGAGTGGTAATGTATTCTTGCCAGTGAGATAACCGGATTCTTGTCTTAAATGCTAGCGGGTTCATGGCATGCAATGAAAATGCCACAGATTGAGGTAAGAGACTGAAGCACCAGTTCTTCCAGCAAGAGAAGGAAACTCTCAAAAAAAAAAAATCACAAACAGTCATCAAGATGGACTGGTCCTTCAGAACCTTCCCAGGCTGTTGTCCAGAATACAGGCCACGTCCAGGGTCACTGGACACCAATCCCTCTGGTCTCAAGGAAGCAGGGTCCTATGATCTCCTCCATCTCACTCACTGACAAGAGCAACTATTCCTCTGATGACTGATCCAGCTCCTGCTACAGTTTAAGTAGCTGTGATATTAGCAGCTTACTGCTGCGGAGTTCAGCACTGGTCTCTTCAGTCCTCTCAGGCAGCACAGGGGCTCCCGAGGCAGCACAGGGGCTCCCGGGGCGGGGGAAGGGAGGGGAGGTTACCGTGGAGATGCGCCATCTGGGCTAGGTCACCACTTGTGAGAGACAAGGACCTCCCAGAAGGTGTAACTGGCACCTTCTCCACAGCCTACTCTACGGCTTGTCATTCTGTGAGACTCATGGCCAAGCCACCATGATCAAACTCATCACAACCTTCATACCAACGCATGGCTTCTTCGAACCGTCTCAGGACACGCCCCAGGACACTGTCACCAGCCTCACCCTGGACATGTCATGGTTTGGGGGGTTTTACGCAGAAACACGATTCAAAGAGCTTTCCTGGGCCGATTCAGTTGCCTGTGTCACGTTCCTGAAGCTGAGACCTGGTTGTCACTCTGCTTTTTGTGCTCCAACTATTCACAAAGTGTCCCCTACAAACTTCTGGAAATCGTCATAATTACTGACTTATTCCATGATGTTTTAGAAAACATAGCTTGAATGTCACACAGCATCCAGCTCCCTAGCTCAAGGAAAAGGGAGAGTGAAGGAACTTCCAGGGTAGTATTATAGTTATATTGTGTTGGTCACTTCGACCAAAAAGCCCAGGCTCCTGTTACAGGGCAAAACCCAAGCCTCTCTCCAGCTCCTGATCAACTAACTGCTGGCATTCTATCCCTAATGTCTGCTTAAAAATTCAAAATCTTACTTTCAAAGGCAAGTTTAACCTGCAATACCACCAACTCAGTCCCACACAGAAAGGTGGTTTTCTTGTAAATGCAGAAAAGGCTGCTGTTCTTTTGCATGAATGCCCATTGGGGCAAGGACGTGTTGACTCATGATTAAAGCTTAGAGCTAGATCATGTTGTCATTGACAGAATCTCGGATAAGAAGTTTTTAAAACCATAAAAAGAGAAATAAAACTAGAAGAGGATTTCTTAGTACTTTTTCTTGTCAAACGGATATAAAGACACTCAAGGCAGTGTCTTTGATCTTGGCAGAAGTAGGCCAGGGAACAAACAAGTCATTTAAACGTACCTTCTCATAGTCCAGCTGGATTCCGAGAGCAATAATAAGATATTTGTAGGAGATCTGCAACAGAAAGCAATGCTGTTTAGACCAGGACCCAAACAGTGGCAGTCCCAGGGCAGACTCAGGCCCCAGGCAAGTGGGATGTCATCACAGGATTTCCATTTTTTTATGTGAATGACTTGGAGCTGTGGGTGGTGGGCATTGGGGAGGGGGGGCAGGTACAGACTCCAGTCTGCCATCACACCCATCATTCTCACACCTCACTGCTTCACAAACATTGCATAACCAGCCTGGCTTCTGATAGCTGAGACTCCTATATTTTCACACAATGGAGGATGACTGCAAAGAGGCCACAACTTCCTGTGCAGGGCTTGGGTTAACACTTTTTCATGTTGGGAAAGGAGAGAATGACATTCTACTCTTAAAAATAATCCATTTTCTTTTTTTAAAAAAAAATACATTTTATTAATTTTTTACAGAGAGGAAAGGAAAGAGATAGAGAGCTAGAAACATCGATGAGAGAGAGACATCGACCAGCTGCCTCCTGCACATCCCCCACTGGGGATGTGCCCACGACCAAGGTACATGACACTTGACCGTAATCGAAACCGGGACCTTTCAGTCCACAGGCCGACGCTCTATCCACTGGGCCAAACCAGCCAGGGTTCCATTTTTTTAATTTATTATTAAATTATTATCTGTGTACATATTTTAACATTGTTCCCCTCCTCACCTATACCCTCCCTCCCCAGAGTTTTGTGTCCATTGGTTGTGCTTATATGCATATATACAAGTCCTTCAGTTGATCTCTTATCTCCCCCAGATCTCCCTACCCTCCCTGCTGTAATTTGACAGTCTGCTTGTTGCTTTACTGTCTCTATATCTATCTTTTGGTTCATCAGTTTATAATGTTATTTATTATCCATAAATGAGTGAGGTCATGCAGTATTTCTCTTTCATTGACTGGCTTATTTCACTCAGCATGATGTTCTCCAATTCTATCCAGGTTGCTGCAAATGATGAGAATTCCTTCTTTTTTATGGCGGCATAGTATTCCATTGTGTAGATATACTATAGTTTTTGATCCAATCATCTGCTGATGGGCACCTAGGCTGTTTCCAAATTCTAGCTATGGTAGATTGTGCTGCTATGAACATAGGGGTGCATATTTCCTTTCTGATTGGTGTTTCTAGTTTCTTAGGATATATTCCTAGTTGTGGGATTACTGGGACAAATGGGAGTTCCATTTTCAGTTTTTTGAGGAAGCTCTATACTGTTCTCCACAGTGGTTGCACCAGTCTGCATTCCCACCAGCAGTGCACGAGGGTTCCTTTTTCTCCGCAACCTCACCAACACTTGTCGTTTGTTGATTTGTTGATGTCGGCTATTCTGACAGGTGTGAGATGGTACCGCATTGTTGTTTTGCATTTTCTTTTAATATCTATAGGGTAAAGTGTGAATCCCGAGCAAATCTGGCCTGTCATATGGATGGGTTGCTATCATAACTGAGAAACTGCTCTTTTGAAGGCCATTGAAAAAGATGTGATACAGCCGAAACCGATTTGGCTCAGTGGTAGAGCGTCGGTCTGCAGACTGAAAGGTCCCAGGTTCAATTCCGGTCAAGGGCATGTACATTGGTTGCGGGCACATCCCCGGTAGGGGGTGTGCAAGAGGCAGCTGGTCGATGTTTCTCTCTCATCGACGTTTCTAGCTCTCTATCTCTCTCCCTTCCTCCTCTCTGTAAAATATCAATAAAATATATATTTTTAAAAAGATGTGATACAATGTATTTCCTATTATGTAATGATCTATTTGGAATTTAAAAGTCCCCTCCTTAAATATGGGTATTGTGATTATTCATGCTGGGAGAAAATGTCTCCCTACTTATTGTGATAGAAATGTGGGTTGAGAATGGGGAGGAAGACAAGTTGAAAAAAAAAAAAAGTCAGCAGGAAGGATGTAAAGTAAAAGGACTTGCCTAGGAAACTGAAGATGAGATTCCAATAAAGCCAGGGGCCCAGAAAGGACATCAGGTGATGACGGTCTCTCTTCTGTACTAAACAGAGAAGCATGGCACACAGCTATGCAGATCCCAGTTAAAGAGGGGATTCTAAGACGAGGAGGCTGGACTCACACTGGGGAGAACAGGAGCAAGTAACCGCAGCGATCCTGCCCTGTGACCCAGATCAGCTCCGTGGTCACGTCCACAGTGAGGCCTTCCTATGACTCAGTCTTAACCCCGTGCACATGATGCTTTATAGCACCTGTCGAGTTATATAACAGTAATATCCTCCCCCACCACATCAAACACTCCTAGAGGATAAAGGTTGTGCCTTACCCTTATTATATTCCTAGAATCTAGCACAGTCACCAAGTTAAAGTGAGGAACTCAGTAATGTTTGTGGGATGAAGGAATGGATGGGTGGTTGATTCCAGTTGCATGTGAAAATACAACTTATCAAAGTGGATAATAATTTATATATCATCATCCCTGTGATCTGCCTGTCCCATAGACAGTGGGTGCCCTGAAATTCCTTGCTCTGTAGGAAAGTGTACTGGACCCATTAAATGGCTGGGGGAACTGTGTTGAATCTTCGGGGTATATGAGGTCAGAGGTAGCATGAAATCTGGGGGAGATGGTCTACAGGTAAAACATACGCCCACTGTCAACAAGAAAAGCCTTTGGTTTGTGTGTACCCTGCTGTTCCTATTAGAGCACAATATTAATCATTTTTTAGAAATAATAATAATAGATAAGCTGAAGATTATAAAAAAAAAACATTAAGGGAGAATAAACTTTAAAGTAGCAAAGAATAAAAAGAAAGCCTCAAGTGTTTGGATAAGTCCAAGTCTCCAGGCCAGATGACCTAAATAAACCCTAAGAAACTGCAAAAACTTGTAGACAAGACTTTTGAGCAATTGCCGAGGACTTTTGAGCAATTGCCGAGGACTTTTGAGCAATTGCCGAGAACAGTGCAGACCTCTCCAGAAGGCTAAATATGGATAAGTGCTCTAATTCTATCCAGGGGGTGGGAAGGTAACTAACAACTTGGCGAACAGGATGTTCATCCAGTTCAACATTCCAGGCTCATCTACTGCAGTTTGGAAAAAGAAGAGCATAGACATGGATTCATTTTGCAACTCTGCTTTCCACAATAACTATGCTGGCACATAGTGGGTACTCAATAAATATGTCCTTTTGCTTTTTTTCATGTATCCTCTTAAAAATAATAACAGCAACATTTCTTGAACATCCACGTTATGCAACTGACAAGATTATATCTCCCATATGATGCTATATGCAGATTTAGATATGGCTATGGAATACTTTTGCCTTAAAAATCCCAGAAGAAGGGGGAGATAATAATAGATCAACCAAAGGACTTGTGTACATGCATATAAGTATAACCAATGGACATAAAACTCTGGGGAGGGAGGGTATGTATGGGAGGGAGGGGGGCAAAAAAAAATCAATAAAATATATATATTTTTTTAAATCCCAGAAGAAGTTCCACCATCTTGCAGCAACTTCTTCCCCAGCCCTAAAACAAGAAACTGCCAATTCCCTAAGTTCTATACTTGACAGGACTACCCAGGGCTCAGAAGTGAGAACACTGACCAGTGCCTTCCATTCTCAAGAGATGAGACAAGCTTATGAACCTTAAATGAGCACAAGCCCAACCACAAAGGGCTCTGAGCTTTCCCGGTAATGTAATTGGGACCGATCAAGGGGGCAGGCACTGCAGAACCAAAGGGGTGATGTGGGATATAAGACCCAGAGCTCCTGGCCCCAGGAGCCAGCAGCAGATGGCAAGGGAAATGAGCCTCAGAGCGCAGTCTTGAGAACTGAGAACAATCTTGTGTCTCATTCAGTCCACCCTCCTGGAGATGCAGGGGAAATAAGGAAGTTCATCAACAGGGGGGATATAATATGAACATTTTAACTTAAATGTGTATTTTATTAAATAATATGTTAAATATTATTTATTTACTTACTTACTTACTTACTTTAGGATGGGGGGAGCCTGACTTGTGGATCATAAGAAGAAAAAAAAAAAAAAAGACCCAGAGGTTTGAACTGACCCCAAGCCCAGCATGAATCAGCCTGTGGCAACTGTCCCTACAAAGGCAGATGCTAAATTAGGCCGCATCCGACTGTGGGAGAGAGAGGGGCCGAGCTATTCTGGGCTGTTCTGCAGAGTGGCTTCCTCTTCGGGGAGCCTTTTTCATGGAGGGGACAAGCCCGATGATGTCTGAAGCAGGGGGAAGAGGGTCCTTCTGAAGACTGGGAAAGACGATGAAAAGTGGAAACAAGGGACAAACCCACCTGCAGAGAATACCAACAGAGACTGTAAGAACCGTCTTCCAATAGGTGAAGGGTTTCTCCTTACAAGAGAGAGAAGACATCCTCCCCCACACTACAGAAAGGACAAGGAATAAGGGAGACATTAAGTCCAATAACACCCTGGGGGCCCAAGAACCACGGGAGCCTGGAGCAGGCAGGGCGCAGCAGGATGGCTGCACTGCCTGCCGCGGTCCTGGGCTCAGCAGCAGATGAGGGGACATGACATTGCAGATGGCTTCTGAACCTGTGGTCTCACCATCCTGCTCTCACCCCTTCTGTCAAATGCAGGGACAGCACTTTTTGAAAAGCTTCGGCCTCCGGGTGCGGGGGGGAGGGGGGCGCGGAGGAGGGGGTAGAAGGAGACTTCTAAATGATGCTGATCAATTATGAGCCTCATGCTCCAGCAGCTGCAATTCTCCTGAGCCCCCAGCACAAAACTCAGTCACAGGGACACTTACTAGTCTGGCGGAGCGCCCCCTAGTGTGACTGGGATGATATTTTCCAACATCCCCTTCCTCTGGGAGGCCAGCTGTCAGGGAGAGAAGCAGGCTGCTTCAAAGGAAAAGGGAGGGAAGGTGCCTGCTATTTTAACACGCAGCAGTAATTGTTCAGTACACATTCGGATGCAAGACATGTGCCAAGCTATAGGGCCAAGAGCGGGTTCCGCAAATATTTGTCCTAGTTGTTTACTAATTCAACATCCTCCGTCCTTCCATCTGTCCCATCCTCCGCTCACCACACACTCTACCCTCTCAAGCAGTATTTCACACACACACACATGCACACACTCTTATAGACCGTGAAGCTGACCAGTCTGATAAGGGCTGTGCACTTCGCTTCATACAAGCCTTCGGTGAACAAAAGCCACGGGATCCCAGTGGTTACCTCCTTGCCGCTGTCTGTGCGAATGCAGTTCTTGTCTGGGTTCAGCTCAGCCACTCTGTCTTTGACCCACTCCACACCGGATGGAATCACACTCGCTGTGGGACGGCCAGAGGAGGACAGCTGTTTGGCACCAGCACCCACCAGGGTCCAGATTGGCTGGTAGAAATGTCTCTGAGAAAGAACGTTTTGGAGATTCATTTCGAGTTGAGGCTTTCCAAAGTGCCATAGCTAAAGGTACCTGAGCTAATTCTCCCTCCTGACTCTCGGAGTATCACAGAGAAAGTCTCTGGGTCGTCCTCCCCACCACCCCTCCCACTGGCGTCTCCTATTATGTTAAACTCTGAAGAGTAGTCACTTATAAGAATTCTGCCAAGATCATTTTTTTAAAAAAGCCATAAACTACCCTGGCTGATGTGGCTCAGTTGGTTGGAACATCTATCCGTACACCAAAAGGCTGTGGGTTCAATTCCCGGTCAGGGTACATACCTAGGTTGTGGGTTCAACCCCGTTGGGGCATATATGGGAGGCAACTGATTGATGTTTCTCTCTCACATCTCTTTCTCTTTCTCTCTCTCCCCACCCCCTTTCTGTCTCTCTAAAAAAAAACAATAATAAAAACATAGGTGAAGATTTTTTAAAAAGCCATAACCTATCATTAGTGACCATTGTATTATTTATTGCTGCTGGCAGGTGACAGTTGATTTGGGGCTTAACATGTGCATGTTACATATACATGTATAATATACACATTATGGATACATTTATGTGCACAGATATAAAGAAAAGTTAAATCCAGTAGCATAATATGGTTCCTCAGATGTTTGTGGGGACTGAGGTAAGTCTAAAGTTTACAGCCACTCTGGGGATCCTCAAACTATATTATTAACTTCCAACTGCGTTTGCCAAGCCCGTGGAAGGTGCAGACATTGCCTGTCAACCCTATTAGCAATCCTTTCTCAGAGGATTTATTAGTATGCCCAAATGCAGGGACACCAAATGCTATCGCATAATGCCACATTTGCCCAAACACGTCCTCAGCATTGCCCAAACACCTCAGACTGGCTGGACAGAATTGCCAAAAGCCACGGAGAGGTGACGAGAACTGAGGAAGGGCTTGGCAATCTCCCTACAGCCAACAAGAGCTGCGATCCCGAGGACAGGGGCAGAGGCCTCCAGCTGTAAGAGCTGAACGGTTCCAATCCATCCTGAACAGACAGAGGAATGAAAACAAGCTCGGATGTTTTATAGACTGCAAACAACCATCAGCTCCAGCAATCACTAACCCAGATACGGGGAGGGGAAGTGCCATCCGCCTGCACCCCTGGCAGCTCCTCCGAGAGACTCCTGTCCTGCAAGTCCTCACAGACGTGATCCTGGCCTCCTGGACTGCGCCCGGCGCCTCTGACTCATTACGAAGAGTAGCCCCTGTCCACGGGTCAGCTACAGTAGGCCACCTGACACGGCTCTCAGACCGCTCTCATTTACTATGTTGTCCTGAATGAGTCACTTTGAAAAGGAGAGTAACGGAGAGCACCTTCCAGGCTCCCCCCCATCACAGCACCCCAGGCTGAGACCGCAGGGAGCCATGTGCCTTTCTCACCCGCCCTTCCCCTCCTCACCAAACAGGCACCAGATCCATTCGCGCCCTGTCCCCAAGGATACAGTTCCCAACTGGTACATGCGTGGCTCCTTCGAAAACCTTAGACAAGCCACCAGAAATCTTGAATACTTATCTGTAGCTTTTGGACAATTTTTAAATGTTTTTTCGTGAAATAATGCCTTACATATAAACGCTTCCCAACTTCCCTCCTGTTTACTACCTTTTTCTGCCCAATAATCTGTTTCTAACCCTATAATCTGTTTCTGCCCTATAATAAGTTCCTTGCACTTAAGCTTCTGAAACCCACTGACACCTTCTCAGAGCCTCCCCCACCCCCCCAGGTCCTTCACTCATCACCTTTCTCCAGCCTGGACCACAGGCAGGAAGGAGCAATGACCATTGACTTTTCACAGGTTGAGATATACTAAAGTCCTGACCCAGGTACCTGGGAATGTGACCTTATTTGGAAATACGGTCTTTGCAGATGTAATCAAGTCAATACTTATGAGAGAATAAGTATCTATTGTTTTAAGACTCTCAATCTGTGGCAATGTGTTAGCACAAGAAACTCATAAGGAAGAGACCATAAAAAGCCAAGGGATCTGTTCTCTCTCTCTTCCTCCCTCCAGCTTCTCCCATCTTTTTGGCCGGCCTGATTGTTGTGCCCAGAGAAGCACTCACCCCAGGACATGACATCCCATGCCTGACCGTCATCCCCGCCCCCTATCGCACCCACGCACATGCACCCAGGAGTGGGAGACTTACCTCACTGGGCTCAATGACGGCCACATTCTCTGCACCCACTTTCTTCTTCATGCGGGAGGCCATGGTGATCCCACCGCTGCCTCCTCCCAGCACCAGCACCTCATGGTAGTTCTTGGCTGCAAGGCCTGTCCCTGTGTGCAGCTGAAGTGAGCTGGCCTGCTGAGCGCCCAGTCTGAGGAAGCAGGTAAAGAGCCGGGCGTGGGGGCTAGACACCACGGCCACCAGTGGGGTCATCTTCACAGGGGATCTGGACAGAAAGGAACAGAAGAGGCTATGCGTAAGGAAGGGACCACTGTGCGACCAAAGCATTTCCCTTCCGAAGGAAGGGGAGGCTGGTGTATGGCCAGCTCCAGCTGGTGCCCACCACCTCCCACAAAACCATCTCTCCAGCTGGCTGTGGTCCCAAAGTCTCCTGGCAGCACAAGATGGTAACTATCAACTGGCTGAGCTTCCATTTCTCCCCTTCCCCTCCTGTCAGGACATCCAGGACTTTTCCATCCAAAAATTCCAGGGCCTCCTGCAGTGCATCCAGCAGTCCCCCATCCTCCTCTCAGGCACATGCCTCAACGCTTTCTTTGGTTTTTCAGTCCACCAAACATGGATAAGTCCACAGCTAGATAGACACCTGTACCAGCCCTTGCCATAGGGCCCCTAAGACCTGCTGAAACAGGAGTAGTCCAGCAAAAAACCCATCTCCGCAACTCGGAGTTCACACCAGGGAAATCAGGGCCTCGGCCCCACTCAGAGAGCCTGCTGGCTCTGTCTGCCCAGAGTCATACAATTTAATCAAAACATGGGCAACAGACACGCAAGCAAAGGCCCTCCACACCTTTGGAAATTTCAACCAGTTGATAAGAGAGCCATAAAAAGATCCCTGCCTGGTATCATAAAGGTATGTTTTGTGTAAAGAATCCGCATATGCTGCTGACCAGTCTTTTATCGTATGCACTCAGTGAGCAATCTCCCCTTCAGAGTTCCTCTGAGAGACAGGCGTTTCTGCTCTGAGCATTCGATGCTTTGGCAGTGAGGAAAGGAAGGCTTCTCAGGTGTGGGCCTTGGCTTCTCCCACCCACAGAACTGGCCTGATGTCTAGGACACCATCTGCTTGTGTAACCGGAATGCCTCTCTGGGCATTACTGTGCCCCAAATTCCACCATCGAGTTCAGTCCTTTGGGGTCAACACTGCCCCAGAACCCTTTTATTCAAATGCAAGGACCTACCTGGGGGTAGCCCTTCTAGCTGCTTAGATCACTAACTTCTTAATGGGACCAATTTCATTATATCATTTTTCCCCAAAAAAACGGAAGAGTGAGACAGCATGAGGGGATTAGAAGACACTGAGAGGGAAACAGGGCTGTGAAAGGAAGGGGGGAAGGCCCTGGCAGAGGGAGAAATGACAGGAAGTGGAAAGGAGGTTGAGTGCTGCCTTCAATTAGGATGAACTTTATTAGGAGGTTCTGGCATTCTGACAACTTCTTCAACAGCTCAGATCTGAAGTGGCCCGGCGACTTGGAACCCACAGAAAGTGAGGCAGGTTAATACATTGTTGCTGCAAGTTTAAAATCTTTATGACCCTTCTAGAAAACAACATTTATCACCCTTTGACCTGGTATGCCCATTTCTGGGACTTCAGTCTAAGGAAATAGCCTCTAAGACAGAAGAAGACAAAGATATACACAAAGATATAGCTCACATATTCATTCATAAAATAGGGTCAACCCTCAGCTAACTGGTTTGTGAACTGATCTGATTACGTCCAGGTCACAGGAAAAACCTCACACTGCTCAAGGAAAGCGCAGGTCCCAGACTGTTCCTACAGTCATGTGACACCCCGGAGAGCAGTTTCCGAAGAAATTGGAAGTAGAGTTACAAACGGAGCCACACAGCCGAAACCGGTTTGGCTCAATGGATAGAGTGTCGGCTTGGGGACTGAAGGGTCCCGGGTTCGATTCCGGTCAAGGGCATGTACCTTAATTGCGGGCATATTCCCAGTAGGGGGTGTGCAAGAGGCGGCTGATTGATGACTCTCTCTCATCGATGTTTCTCTCTATCTCTCTCCCTTCCTCTCTGTACAAAATCAATAAAATATATTTAAAAAAAAAAAAAAAATACAGAGCCACACAAGTAGCTAAGAAAGCTCTGAACACTAGAGCACCTGTTCAACCCACCAAAACAGAAAATGTCAACAAACAGCCAAAACCTATTGCTTCTGTGAAACCAGTTCAGATGGAAACGCTGGCCCCAAAGGAGGCGTATCCCGCACCTGAGGATGGCTCCATGAAGAAAGAGAACCTCTGTCAAGCTTTCTCGGATGCTTTGCTCTGCAAGATCGAAGATATCGGTAATGAAGACTGGGAGAACCCTCAGCTTTGCAGCGACTACGTTAAGGATATCTATCCGTATCTGAGACAGCTTGAGGTTCTGCAAACCATAAATCCACAATCCTTAGATGGAAGAGATATAAACGGACGCATGCGTGCCATCCTGGTGGATTGGCTGGTACAGATCCGTTCCAAGTTTAGGAGACTCTCCACACGTGCATCGCCATTATGGATTAATTTTTACAGCTTCAGCCAGTCTCTCCTAAGAAGCTTCAACTGGTTGGGCGTATAGCTTTGCTTTTGGCCTCCTAGTATGAGGAAATGTTTTCTCCAAATATAGAAGACTTCATTGACATCACAGACAATGCATATACCAGTTCCCACATCCGAGAAATGGAAGCTCTCATTCTGAAAGAACTGAAGTGTGAGTTGGGTCTGCCTTTACCACCACATTTTTTAGGGCGGGCATCGAAAGCTAGGGAGGTTGATGTTGAGCAGCACACTTCAGCCAAATAGTTGATGGTACTGACTCTCATTGACTACGATCTGGTGCATTATTACCCGTCCAGAGTGGCAGCGGCTGCTTCCTGCCTGTCCCAGAAGGTTCTAGGCCAAGGAAAACGGAACGTAAAGCAGCAGTATTACATCGGACACACCGAGAACGAGGCATTGGGAGTCATGCAGCACATGGCCAAACACGTAGTGAGAGCAAACCAAAACCTGACGAAGTTCATCGCCATCAAGAATAAGGAAGGCCGGGACCAGTTTGGCTCAGTGGCTAGGGCGTCGGTCTGAGGACTGAAAGGTCCCAGGTTCGATTCCGGTCAAGGGCATGTACATTGGTTGCAGGCACATCCCCAGTAGGGGGCGTGCAGGAGGCAGCTGGTCGAAGATTCTCTCTCATCAATGTTTTAACACTCTATTCCTCTTCCTTCCTCTCTGTAAAAAATCAATAAAATATATTTAAAAAAAAAAAAAAAAAAGAATAAGGAGATATGCAAGCAGCAGACTCCTGAAGATCAGCACGACTCCTCAACTGAACTCAAAAGCCATTAAAAAGTTGGCCCTCCCTTGGATGGGGTGGCCCTGGGCCCTGGTCCTCCAGAAGGTGCTTTGTCTGGCACTTTCTCTTACTTGTTTGGAATTCTTGGCTTGGTATGTAATTCTTTGGTCTACTCCATGACACCTCTTCTCAGACCTATTTTCTAACTACATATTGAGAAAAAATAAAGCTATTGATATCTTTTTTAAAAAAAGAAAAGAAAGAAGAATTAGCTACCAATGATACAGAAGAATGCACCACTTTACATTCTTAAAAAGTGAAATATTCACTTTTTTTAATAAAAAAAATCAATAAAACATGGAAATTTCATTTTAACAAGTGGCACATACAACACATTTTATAATTAAATAATGTCATGCTTTTCCCTAGTTTGGCTCAGGGTACAGAGCATCAACCCATGGACTGAAATATCCCAGCTTTGATTCTGGTCAAGGACCTATTCCTCAGTTGCAAGCTCCATCCTGCCGCGGTCGGGCACATGCAGGAGGCTCTCTCACATCAATGTTTCTCTCTTCCCATTCCCTTCCTCTCTCTAAAAATCAATGGAAAAATATCCTCAGACAAGGATTAACAACAACAACAAAAGAATAAATAAATAAATAAATAAATAAATAAATAAATAAACAAACAAACAAATAATGTCATGTTTTTAAGTTAGATTAAAACTCAGTTTATCCTAAATAAACTGAGTGCTCCTTTCAAAGGATTAGAATAAATGCTTTGCTACAGCTGTAGTCTAACTAGAGACATAAAATCCCTGCTGACAGAAAGAGGAGAATTGATCTGCTGGGCCTCTCCTACTTACAGCCCTGGCCAAGGCTCACACCCGACCTCCACAAGTCTTTGGAACTCCACAGCTTCCCACAGCCCGCCCTTCTCAGACTGTGTGATCCCCCTTCATTTATTTATTTGCAATTATTTTATTTTTTCCAACTTCATTGAGGTGTATTTGATAAAAACTACTGCATACAACATTATATATATATATATATATATATATATATATATATATATAAGTGTTTACCATGATCAAGCTAATTAACATATCTATTGACTCACCTAGCTATCACTTTTTTTAGTATAAAAAAAAAAACACACTAAGATTTACTCTCCTAGAAGATTTCAAGTATACAATACAGTATTATTAACCACAGCGACTATGCTATATGTTAGATCTCCAGAAATGATGTATCCTGCATATGTGAAACTTTGTACACTATGACCAACATCTCCCCATTTCCCCCCAACACTTAGCCCTGGTAACCACCATTCTTCTCTGCTTCAAAGAGTTGAACTTTTTAAGATTCTATATATGAGATCATACAGTATTGTCTTTCTGTGTTTGGCTTATTTCACTTAGCATAATCCCATAGGTTCACCCATGTTTTCACAAATGACAAGATTTCCTCCTTTCTAAAGGCTGAATAATGTTCCATTGTGTGTATATATGTCACCTTTTCTATATGAATTCATCTGTCAATGGACACTTAAGCTTTTTAATATCTTGGTTGTGAACAATGGTGCAGTAGGTATGGGAGTGCAGATATCTCTTTGAGATAGCTATTCTCTTTCCTTAGGGTATATACACCCAGAAGTGGGATTGCTGGATCATATGGTGGTTTTAACTTTTTTAGAAATCTCTATACTATTTTCCATTGTGGCTGCACCAATTTACATTCCCACCAACGGTGAAAAGGATTCCTTTTTGCCCACATTCTTACCAATACTTATCTTAAAGGCTCTCTACTCTTAAATCATGTTACATATTACACACTGGGTGTCAGCTAGGACACCTGGCTTAGTTCAGATAAAGCTGGCCTCCAAGCAAAGATTACTCATAGCATTCTTAA